ACAGATGTTGGAGTGTTGGTTCACTGTTCCTTGAAAGTGGAGTTGTCGGTAGACAGGACAGTGAAGGAGGTGTTTGGTATGCTTGCTTTTATTGGTCAGTGTATTGAGTATAGGAATTGGGAGGTCATGTGGCTGTTCAGGACATTGGTTAGGCCACTATTGAAATACTGCGTGTGATTCCAGTCTCCCTCTATAGGTTAGATGTCGTGAAACTTGAAAGGGTTCAGAAAAGATTTTCAAGGATGTTTCCATGGTTGGAGCGTTTGGGTGATGCTGAATAGACTGGTACTATTTTTGCTGGAGCATCGGAGACTGAGGGGTGACCTTAGAAGTTTATAAAACCATAACGGGCACAGATGGGGTAAATAGACAAGGTCTTTTCCTTGGGGTCGGGTGCCCAAAGCCAGAGGGCATAGGTTTAAGGCGAGAGAGGAAAGATTTAAAAGGGATCTAAGGGGCAGTGTTTTTATGCAGAGGGTAGGGTGTGTATGGAATGAGTTGCCAGAGGAAGTAGTGGAGGCTGGTACAATTACAACCATTAAAAGGCATCTGGATGGGTGTATGAACAGAAAAGGTTTAGAGAGATATGGGCTAAATGCTGGCAAATGGCACTAGATTTATTTAGGATATTTGGTCAGCATAGGTGAGTTAGAACAAAGGGCCTGTTTCCATCCTGTATATCTTGGCTGTAAGAAGTTCCTCTTTATCTCAATCTTAAATTGGCACCCCATTATTCTGAGACTATGCACTCCAGTCCTAGACTCTCCCATGAGGGGAAATACTCATCCCATCAAACCCTTGAGAATCCTACCTCAGGGTAGTGAATGTAGAATGCTTTACCACAGAGTGCTGTTGAGGCTGGGTCATTAAGTATATTCCAAGGCTGAGAGAGACTGATTTAATCATAAAGAAATCAAGCTTTATAAGAAAAGAGCAGGAAAGTGGAGTTGAGAATAATCTGATCACCTATTATCTCATTGGCGGAGCAGATGCTGATTAATGACTGCTTCCTGTTCCAACGTCTTGCCTTAGCATGGGGAAAGTGGTTGCAGTTATTAGTATTTAGTTGTCTCAACCTTGGCATTATCCCTTAGGATAGTGTGCCCAAGCAAAGCATCTTAAACTGCTTTCCTCTTGTCTATGACAAGTATTTGAGGTGTCTTACTTTTTCGTAGGAAGTAGGTTGGCTTTGGCTGCCTATTCTATGGCAGGACCTGAAGCAACTGTGTTAGCAAAGGCAGGCAATATTTGTCAGATATTGACCATCTCTAATGAGAATGTCCAAACCCACAGCTTCAATACATCACTTTATAACTGAGCACAATGAATTTCAATTGGTGCTGGCCGCAAGAACACGACAAAACCTTATTGTTCTGCAAAGGGTGAGTGGAGGCAACAGTGTTTATCACTTAGTTGTATTCTGTGTGATATCTAAATGCTCTCATAGAACTTATAACTAGTGGGTAAAATCAACAAGTGTTTATTGATATATATTTGTCTGCAGCAGCATTTTGCATTGATTCCAAAATTCATCAATAGGGGAAACTGCAAATGTTAAGGGCGGCACAGTGGCTCAGTGGTTAGCACTGCTGCCTCAGTGCCAGGGACCTGGGTTCAATTCCACCTTCGGGCGACTGTCTGTGTGAAGTTTGCACATTCTTCCCATGTCTGCGTGGGTTTCCTCCCACAGTCCAAAGATGTGCAGGCTAGGTAGATTGGCCGTACTAAATTGCCCATAGTGTTCAGGGGTTTGTAGATTAGGTGGGTGATAGGGGGTTGGTCTGGGTGGGATGCACAGAGGGTCGGTGTGGACTTGTTGGGCCGAAGGGCCTGGTTCCACACTAGGGGTTCTATGATGATTCTATGATAAACGTACTCCATTGGATATGAATAGGGCAGAAGGTCATGTAGCCTTTTGACTTGCTGTGCTATTTAATTTGATCGTGGATGATCTTGGGCTTCAATTCCAATTTCCTGCCTCTTTCTCATACCCTTTGATTCCCTGAGATACCAAAGATCTGTGTCTCTGCCTTAAATATATTCAAATCTAGAATTACAGTAACCCTCGGGGATAAAAGAATTCTGACAGTTTGCACCCTTTGAAAAATATTCATCTCAATGATCAGCTTTCTATCCTGAGATCATGTGGCTGTGTTCTAGATTCCTCAGTCAGGAGAAACAACATTAGTGTATCTTGGAGCATGTTTGTAATCTTTACTGTTTCAATGAGATCACCTTGCATTGTAGAAAGCACCACAATATTGAATGTTTACTCAGCCTCTCATTGTAAGAGAACATACTCTCATTCCCGGACCAGTCTAGTGAACCTTTGTGGTGCTGCCTCCAATGCAAGTATGTCCTTTAAAATGGAGTCCAAAATTACTACATGTCAGGCATAATGTCTCCATAGCCCATACAAGTATTGCAATTTGTCCTCCAGTCCCCTTGCAATAAAGCCAACATGTGCTTGCTTTCCGAATTAATTGCTGTACTTGCACACTAGTCTCGTGTCCCTTGCATGGGTGTACCCAAGTGTCTCAGCATAGTATTTAAATGTTTCGCACCTTTTAAAAATGTTTTCTTATGAACAAAGTGAATAACTTGCCCTTGACCATATTCATCTTCTGCCACCGTCACAATGAACTAATTTTACCTGTATACTGGACTTTGCAGTCTCTTTGTCTTCCCTGTACCTTGCATTTCCACTACTTTTGTATTGCCAGCACACTTGGATGCATTACCATCTTTGTCTAAGTCATAACTATAAATTGTAAGTAGCTGGGACCCCTGCACTTGCTCACTAGCCATAGTCTGGCAACTGAAATGCTCCATTTATCCTTGCATCTATCCTTTAACCAATCTGTGATCGATACTCATTAGGCACAATTCTCCCATCACTTTCTCTTTTGAGTTCGCTGATGAAACCTCTCTGTCCTCCCAATATCTCCAAATAAATTCTGATCCTTGTTTTTCATCACCTGGTTCTTCCCCCATCTCTAACCCCCACCAGCTGTCAACCCTTGGAGAAATCAGTGTGCTGCCAATTCTGGCCCCATGCATTCTGCACTCCTTCATCCATCACTGGTGGACATGCCTCCTGATTCCAACTTATAATAGGTCGTCACAGGTGGTTTAAATTGTATGCAGATAGTGGACATTAGGTGGGCATTGATTTAAGCTGTCTGTAAATGGAGAGCATAAAACTAATTGGATTAGAAGGCATAGACTTACAAGCTGTAAATCTAAATATAAATATGAAGTTCTATTCACCGACTATCTTTCTGGATATAACATTATAGCACCGAGTTTACCTAAAGTCAGATAAATGTCCTCTGAATCATACTGAGTTTAGGGAGGACATTTTGCGCGTTGAGTCTGCACTGTCCTGTTTGGAAGAGCTAGCTGGTTGGTTTCACGTGTCCCATTGCTCTCAATTGTTCATTCAAGTATTTGTCTGATTCTCTTTGGGAGATGCATTCCAGATCATGTCAACTCCATTGTATCAACTTGTTATCTTTATTAAAATTCATTCTTCTGATTTCTTTTGCCAGTTATCTTAAATCTGTCCCCTCTTGGTTACTTGCAAGTGAAACAATTTCTCCTAGTTTTCCAGCCCTACTGCACAACTGCCCCCAGTCCCAGGTATCATTCTAGTTAATCTTTGCTCCATAGCTATGTTGCTCTTTTTATAAAGTATAATGCCCAATATTGAGCAGAATTTTGCCAATTTTTCCTGACATCTTCAAAAATTTTTTTAACTACTGCATTTCTCTCCTACTTTGTTCAAGATGGTACCACTTCATTCCTATTATTTTTGTATTTCTTAACCAAAGTACTTCACACATCTCTACCTTAAACTTGAATCTGCATCTATCTGCTTAATTTCCAAGCTCTCGTATCTTTTACCGTCTTGACTGTTCACTGCATTTCACTGTTCATTGTACATATGTCTTTGAGACATATGCTCTTTATCAATGACCTGGACTTGGATATATACATTCAAAAAGAGCCACGGACCCATAGGTGCGTAGATCCAAGAGTAGACATGAATCGAGACTTTGAGCCAAGCTTAGTCTGGCAAATCAGTTAGTAACTGGGATTTGGGTTCTAGAAGATTAAGCTTTGGTAGCTTGACTCTTATTATTTTTTTAAATGTTCATTTCAAAGCAAAGGTTAAAGCAGGAGAGCTAATCCTTGGTAATTTATGTAAGTTATTTTAATTTTGGTACAACCAAGAGAGTTTGGTGTTTTTTTTTTTCAAGAAGCATTGGTCCAGATTTTATAATAAGGAGTGAAATGCATGTTTAGGTTGCTGATTTCAAAGAAAACTATCCAAAAATCTCATGGTCTCTCTGGCCTGGGTATCACTTTTTTTCAGATATGAATGTAGTTGAGACCATCCATAGGGAAACACTGATATCCAGCAGCAGTGATTATCATAAGCTGCCAGTCACTCTGAAGAATTCAGATTAGGAAGTAATTAACATTTTATCTCTCATTTTGTAATATTACAGAAACTACATGGTGTTAGAGAGAACTGGCAACATCATAAACAAGTATTTTTACAATACTATGGAAATTCTAACATGAAAGAGATCATTCACATTATATAGATGTAAAACTTGTTTTATATGTAACTGCGTGCCAATGAAACTTCACTCAAGACGAATGGTGTCAAAAAAAATGTGCAATATATCAAATCAGTGATTCCTAATTGAATTCCAACTGTAGGGATGTCAACAGCAGACATTGTGGAGCAGTGCAGAAATCACTGATAACTGCTTCTAGATTTCTGCATTTTACTGTGAATGTGTGATAGCTAGAAGTTGCTGTCAGTGACAAAAGTGGTGATTCTGCTGGTTTCTCTAGCATTATGACTACAAATTCGGGGCTAATCCATTTGAGGCTTTTACAGAAAATTGCCTGTGCTTCATATAAAGCTAGGTTCTCAGCATTCAGTTGCATACAATTGATAAACTAACCTTGCTGTGTACTTTTAGGAGGATGAAGAATGGAAGGAGTTTGAGCAAAAGGAAGTTGATTATAGTGGCTTGAGGATCCATGCCTTACAAATCAGGTGAGCGCATTAAAACATTGAGCCTGTCAATTATTAGAGAGCTCTTTGCTAAGATTTAACTATAACTGCATGTACTATAGCCATTAGTCCGATTCCATTTTTTCTTAAAATTCTGAATTACCATTAAGTAATTTAATTCTTGAAAAGTTGAGTTCAAGTTGAGTATTGAAAATTGTACATTGCAACTAAATTAGCAATACAGCACAGAAAAAGACCTACTGATTGCACCTGGATCTATCCAATTAATCCCACTCCCTTTCCTTTTTCTTATAGTCCCATATTTAATTTGCCTTAAAACTTTTAAGTAATTGTGGGGTACTTCTTCTAATGCCCTTTGAAAGTCTGTGTGCGCCATATCAACTACATTAGAGTCATCAGCTTCTACAATTACATCACCTTAGTCAAATGCAACCTGCCTCAATTGAGTTTGTGATAACAAGGTGTAGAGCTGGATGAACACAGCAGGCCAAGCAGCATCAGCGGAGCAGGAAGGCTGACGTTTCGGGCCTAGACCCTCCTTCAGAAATGGGGGAGGGGAAGGGGGTTCTGAAATAAATAGGGAGAGAGGGGGAGGCGGAGAGAAGATGGGTGGAGGGGAGACAGACAGGTCAAAGAGGGGGGGATGGAGCCAGTAAAGGTGAGTGTAGATGGGGAGTTAGGGAGGAGATAGGTCAGTCCAGGGAGGATGGACAGGTCAAGAGGGTGGGATGAGGTTAGTAGGTAGGAGATGGGTCCGTACTGCTTTAAATTTATTGCCCAAGTTTTTGGCTGAACCCCATTTAATTTTGTCCCAGATTAGTGTTTCTAAGAACTTCCCCAGCATCAGCATAACATATAACATGTAGAGTTGAGATACCGATCAACATTGCTTAAAAAGATGGAATGGATTCCTAAGGGCTGAATATCCCTCTATTTCTTATGGAAAGCAAAATCTTCAAAAAAAAAAAAAATTACAGGTATCACTTGACGGTACTAATGACCAGGACTGCTGCAATTTGTCCTCCAGTATTATCTTGCTGCAGATTGAAGGTTGAGCTTTGGCTAACACCTCAAACTGTGAGGTCATTCTTGTGGGGCTGACAAGACTGGATTGTTGGGCCCAGGAATGCTATGGACTTTGTCTTTAGAATGGAGTCAGCAGATTGAGCTTCTGGTTATGCTTCTTTCTTAGCATATATAGAGAGCAGTGACTGGATTCTGCAATATAAAATCATAGTATGTTGCTCTCCATCCATTACCACTGGCAAACCAGTATCAGAATTCTTGTCACAGCAGACAGTATCTTACCTCATAACTTCCATCCACTTCCCAGAATTGCCTAGCAGTGCTTGTGTGCATGTGATTCAGATTATTACCATACATTGACACTCTAGTACTGCAGGACAGTTCCGGGATGGCCTTTGCCACAGTGGCCAATTTGGGAAATTGTACTGAAGTTTCTACTTGTGCCATCTGCATAAGAGCAGCAGTAAGAATTGTGGAGGAATGTCAGTCCACTGTGCTTTTTGCTTATCTGGATTTGAATGACCCAAGTCTAATTTTCAAAGGAAATGTAGAATTGTCCTGTGCAGCACAATGTAGAAAGCTGCTCCCCCTGCTGGTAGAGTTCATTTTTCAAGTGATATGATCAGAGTGCCAGATGGTGACCATGCACGCAGGAGGAGGAAAAATCTGACTAATCCTAATCTACTTTCTTGTACTTTCTAGCAGGATGGTAGGAATTTGGTAGGTTAACCCATTTTCAATCTGTTTTGGAACTTAGTATTACAGGAGAATTGTAAAGGGATGAGAAGATGGTTTGAAGTTTTTTGCTCGGATAAAACACTTGATTTGGGATTATCAGTTGTCATTGACAGTTGTCTTATTCAAACATTAAAAAACATTTGTTTTGATAACAAGTCATGTCACTTGTGAGTGTCATGTAAATTGAACACAGTAAATAATCACTTGACCTAAGACCCATTGTAACATTGCAGAGTTCTCATCAATTTAATTCCTGCTTCTATCCATGCTAACTGATTTTAGAGCTGCTTGAGCTTTCTGAACAGAATATTGAGTTAGTGTAACTTTTGCTGTTACTAACATGACAGTGATGAAAGAGAGGAAGAAGACGATGAGAAGAAAGATGATCAAAGTGAGGATGGTGAGAATGTCTTGTATAGAGATGGAGACGAGCTCGCCGGACCTTGGAACAAGATGACACAAATTCCAGCACCTCCTGTTGTGGGTAAGTGTCAAGATGGCTTTGACCATAGAGAATCCCTTAAAAAAAAAAACACTCACTCATGTATTACTCCAGGCAACAATGCAACATTTTCTTTTTAAAAAGTTGCACCTGCCGAGAAAACCATTTTAGTAGTCAGATTCTGGAGATGACAAAATAATTAGTTGCTGAGGAAGAAACTATTAAGCTTGAGTGAGAGCTAGACTTGGAAATCAAAACTACATGCTCTTAACTCTGGTCCTTTGTCACTGGTAAAAATAGACATTTTAAAAAAGGTATTTTTGATAAGATACTTAAATTACCCAATGTGGGCTCAAAGCCATGACCCTGGGATTCTCTATTGAGTTAACTAGCTTATTTAGAAACTTCGTTCGCTTGTATCAACAAATCTGAAGTTAGAACATTGGATAAATTTGTAGTATTAAATGGGCCTGGGAACAAAGCAGCATGCAGCTATCATTTTGATGGGAAAATCAGCATGTGAGGGCCAACTGTGTGTACTAGTGTTCCTGGCAACTTTCCAGGAGTTAGTGTTTTAGGTTTGAAAGACTGTTATGCTCTATACTGCTATCAGACATTGAATAATCTCAAAGCAGCATGAACTATTCAGTGAAACTGTTTGTGATTATGCTGATTCAGACATGATTAGTTCAAAGGTTGGTGTGCAGCTACTGTTGGGCACATTAAATCCATGACCATGTATGTGTGCAGCTTTTTCCAGAATTGTGGAATTTGCTCAAAACATAAATACTATCCCCATCAGTTTAAAGAATTGAATCTGAATCTTTCAAATTTTTGAGCATTAAGGAGAGCTTGTGGGCAATGTGAAGGAGGAATATAAAATTGGTATTTGAATGAGTTTGTGGGGAATGTCAGTCTGCCTCTGCTGTTAAGGATATCCTGTCTCTTTGGCTGTCTTTTTTCCTTGTTTTAGTTGTGCTGACATTCATTATTGAGTAGGAAATAAAAAATAATTTCATGGGGTGCAGTATTCCAGTTGGATCAGTTCAGCAATTATTTGAGACCCTGATCATTTTTACTTCTGGGGATAATGTCTGAGCTTTCTAAGCAGGCCACCAAGATTAAATCTCGGTTCAACCTTCTCTAACCCTGCATGGATGCACCACGTTAGATTGTTATTTTGTTTGTGTAGAACTGTTTGAACTATTGCACAATGTTAATTAAAATCTGTCTAACATAAGTGTGACTCCAGTTGCAGAAGTCCCAGAATCAAAGCCATCTGGCGTCTATCGACCTCCTGCAGCCAGATCGGGTAATGTGCGAAGAACACAATCACAAGGACCACCAGAGATTTTCAATGATGCGCAGTTTCCATCCCTACAAGCTTCTGCAAAGCATATAGAAACTAGAAAGTAAGCCTTGGATGTGTTCACTTTAGTGATTTGCTGGTTGTTTGATTTTTCTTGGACACTTGAAAATTTTGGTGGAAGAGAAGTTTCTTTGCATTTCAGTGAAAGACACTGAACATTTTCAGTTTCTTAAGGTTCTTCATTTTCAGATTCTTTAACTCTGGTTCATGGACTTTCCATTCTGCCATTGCCCCAGCATCCTGATATTTGTTAGTCTTGCAGGAATTTGTACTATGAACCTTCCTATTGCATTTAAAATGGTGTCTGCTGTGTTTTCTCTCAGCTATTTTCCATTACACCAGCAATCATCTGTGAAACATTTGTATGACTTAAAATTTAAAAAATAATTTGTTTTTCGCACTAGTAAATCTACATTCCTGTAGATATCAGCAAATTTAATTTTGGTTTGTTTGTTCTTTAGCACTTAAGCATGTCAGTAAATAAATCATGAATTATTTGGTGGGAAGAGTTGGTGTTGGGACTGCTAGTGAGATGGGTTGAAGTTACCTAGTACCCTAGGATAGTTGGAGTATGGTTAGGGGAAAGATAAGGAGTATGCTCTTGAGGGCTGTCCAATGCAATAGAAAGCTGACAGATTGAACAAAACTGTGAAGTCCCTGCAGTAAAAGAGGTTGCTGCCACTAGGGTACAGTGTCACTTCTGGATAGCTACTAGAGGGCTGCATCCATTGCCTAAATAGGTTACTATGAATCTTTGAGGTGGGGAGAAGGAAGAAGTGAAAATGAAGAACCATATATTTTGTGCAGTAAATCCAATTAAAATCATTGTACATGTCAGACAGATATCTTGCAGTTTACTTAAATATTTATATTTTTCAGTTGATCTGACTTGTCTTCATTTATGCATCATTTTTGTTCAATCTCCGCATACAAATTGGCTGCCATAATTAGATTGTACTACTTGTCATAAATTCATCTAATTTTATCTAGAGCATATTAACTATACAGTTAATGTACCCTGGATTCAAAGGTTTGGGTACTTAAGGGTAAGATGCCAAATGCAGTTGGAAATAGTCTGCAGTGGATTGACTTCTGTGGCCTATAGTCCCACAGATCATCATGTGTTACCTTGCTGGGCTTTTTTTAAATTTAAGACCTCTGGTTGCAGCTCATGAGAGCAAGGAGAGAGGTGTGCAGAAACAGTGGTATTCTCAACGCAGTTTTGAGTATGATTGACTGCACAGTGCATTGGCCTGCGGTTGCCCATTCATGGCAGAGGAGAATGACGGGAGATTTTCTTTGAAGGCAGGATATACCCTCCACCTGAATTAAAGAGCTGGAAAGGGAAAGTACAAAGTGGCATTAGCTTGTGGGTCATACCTCTGCACCCTACCAGCAGCTTACTAATAATTTGTCCAATGCCAACAGAATTTGCCAGTGGGAGTTAGGTTTTATTTGGATCAAGAGTAACCGCTGAGCGAGTTACACTTTCACTTCACTTTCTTCAAGTCTTCGAGTAACTTCTGGGTAGGCTGCTCATGGCTGTTGCAATGTGGCTCTCAAACCTTCAGTGTTGCAAATTGAACAGGAATTATTCTTCAGGGTGATGAGAGATGGCTAAGCCCACATGATCATTAGTTTACTGTTGTTTATGGTCATTTTAAATATTGAATTGTCTCATTGGCAGATTCCTCTAAAACCACAAGCTTACTCATTGCCTCTGCCACGATCATGTAGGATTTAATTCTGTCTCTAAATCATCTTGGATATAACACAGAACTCTCTAACTTTAAGGAAATGAAGCACCTGGAATACTGGCCGTTACCTGACTGAAGCTTCATCTGCAGGAAATAAATGATTAAGTCTCTCCCTTGTAACTTGACTAAAATGAGTGGTAGTTTTGACATTTCACGTTAAATCATATCTGAATGAATAGGTTTATTTAAGTGCCTATCCATGACAACATGAAGCGGTGATCCCTGTCTATAGTTAACAAATCCACTCTATGAAGCTGCGAAATCTCATCTTGGACCCAGGGCAGTATACTACTTCCAGGCATATCTGGAGGCATGTACACGGGAGGTAAGGCCCCTTCAGCATGTAGCCCGAATCCACAACTCCGTGGCGTGGGACTGAGTTCTGTGGAGATCCTCAGATGACAGCAAATGGCATTTTGTGGCATTTTATGCAAAATTGTGTCCATTTCACCTGCTTTTGTGGTTCCAGATGCACTGTTATCCATCAGAAATCTGCCAGGAAGTGGCCTGAAACTTTTAATGATCTTGAAATGAGGATAAGCCAAGTCTGCAGGTGCTAAGCACCTCATCATCCTTGAGGCTATTCGGAGTCCAGTTTGCAACATTGGAGGTCTGAGGGCTCTGTTGCGAAAGCCATGGGGCAAGATTTAAAGCAGCCCTTTGTGGTGTGAAACAGGGCAGTCAGGGCAACCCAGTCATGGGAGAACTCCATGTTAGTGTCAGCAGCAGGGATGCCTTGTGTCCAAGTTGGGCAGAAGTGACTGCCATGGGATTCCTGGCTGCTGGTGGTGGGGTGTCCTTTAGGCTCATTAATGAGCTAATTGATACCCCATTATCCTGAGTCCACCTTCAATTTGAAGAACCTGGCACTGACACAATCATGGCTGCTCAAAACCATGACCCACCCCACCCTTGCATTGCAGGGGACAGTGTACACTTTTGAAAAAGTCAGGGGCTAACTAACTTCATCTGCAGAATGTAAATGATTGAGTTCCTTCCTTCACGCCTCATCCTGCCCTTACTAACCTGTGGCCTATGGTCTCCATGATCCTGGCCCACTCAGGGAGGTACAGTGCCACCAGCAGTCACTTCCACTGGTGCAGTCAGCTTCTGATAGGCCAGCAGCTCTCAGTGGAAAGGACTTCTACTACCTGGGATGTCAATCCCTGGGAAGGTTCAGTAGCCAATTAAGTTGAAGGGCATGAACCATGGGATTGAGTGTTCCTGCTGGTTCTGTAATCAGTGGGTGGCCCACCAGGATTCCAGCCAATGTATGTAAACCAACATTAATTTAATGTGATGCTTAAGAACATGTCAGATAATTGGCTACTTATTTATGACATTTTTTAAGCAATGCCTTGGTATTTAAGCAAACTGTGTTTTTCTGAATTGTCATATTGGTGTAAATACCACAAATTATCAAAAGGCTGACTTGTACAAATGGAGTCTCACTCAACCCCTTTTTTAATTTTGGGGGTATGACAATGGAGTTGGTTGAAGATGCTGCCGAGCAACTTTTCAGAACTTTAAGGCTACAGTGAGGTTTGACCCTGTTTCAAATCAAGATTGCATTCAAAGGAGAAAAATCAATTATGACAAATTATGACTGAATTGTTTGTCATCTTATGGCAGATTGTTCATGGGATCCAAGTGGTTGTAATCACATTGACTTCCTTTTGATCAGCCAAACAAGACATGGTTGTAGGGGCTATTGATATTGTGCTGTTTGTCCTTGACCTGATTGATTTTTTTGCAGCGTGAGCGCCTTCAAACCAAATGGCTTTCAATGCTTGACTGATCGTCTATTTGACTTAGCAGCCAGACTGATTCTTTTTAAAGCTTACTGCCATTAGTTGCTTCATTTTATTAGTATTATAAAAGTTGGGAAAAATCAGAAATCATCATATTTACAAGTGGTTGGGGATGTAAATCTTGCTCTGTTTGTTCTCGGTTCACCTGGATGTTGATCATGATCTGTTAAATTTGAGTTGGCTTAGATCTGCTACCTTCTAGAATTGTGAAATGTGACTTTGATCTTGAGTAATTTGTGTTCAGGTCTTGTACAGATTTGTCATAATTCAGTACAAGATTAGATTCAGTCTGGTACTTCTATTTTAAATAGTGGTGAGATAGGGCTGAAGATTGTCTGAAGTGGATTTAAATTTGTCTCAATTGTGATATTTAGTTTTATCTGGTTTTGGAGAGTTCTTGTTGGGTCATCTGGTGCAGGCAGTTGTCATTTAGTCCAGTCAATTGTTCAGAAGCAAAATATTATGCAACCGCCACTTGAGTGAGATGTAGCTAGTCAGCAGAATACATTAGTGTGTAATTCTGTTTGTGCTCATGCCATCATGGATGCTGTCTTTACTGCGTGGAATAATTAAGAATTTCAAGCCTTCAGTCTGACTTTTGGAGCTATAGGACTTGCAGCTTCTGTCCGTGCCAGAGCAGAAATACTAATTTGTTTGTGGAGGTTGAATGAAAGTGGAAATGCTAGATACCTGCTACGCGGTAAGGTCTTTACTTCCTGAATGTAGTTCAGCCTCCATATACAAAGCTTCAATTTCCTGCTCCCAGGGAATTTGGAACTTTCTTTTTGTGCACTTACTTTCTTTGCTGTTGCTTTCTGATGAAACTAACTACCTTTACTTAACACGGACCTTCTTTATATTTGGGTGCAGGAGCACCATATTGCTTGGTCAGTGATCTGGTGCTAAATTTTGAAAGGGTGGTTTCCCTCACTTGAATCACAGCCTTTTTGTATGTGGAGGTTAAACTATATTTAAAGAATGAGGAAGACTGCGCCAGTGGTAGGTAATCTTAACATTTGGTCACATTTTCCAGTTGTGTTTGAGCATTTTTCGAGCTGATCATTAAAAATTATTTTTTCCCAGAGATAAAGAAATGGAAAAGACCTTTGAGATGGTGAAATACAAAAACAGAGCCAGGGAGGATGGTTCTAAAAGTCAGTCCGTTCAGCTAGAACTTGGCAACCAGTTTGCTGTTCTTGGGGAGCAGTAATATTGGTGCATGTTTTACAGACTGGTGCTCTGTATTTCATCCCAGGTAACTAATCTACATGGATCCCATTTGTCTTCACCCCACAATGCCAGAAAAAAAGTTTGATTGATCTGGTATAGACTTCTTCGGACACTGAGGCATCTGCAAGACATCATGGGAATTTTAAGCTTGAAGCACAATAACTGCTGTCATCTACTATGGACTGGAATTGATATAAGGGTTTGAATGAAGTGTCAGTTACTCTTGGAGTGACATTTTTGGATAAAGATTAAAAATGCAGCCATTAAGTGGTCCATTTGTTTATAGTCCTGCTTCCTATTTGAATGTTGAGCCTCTGCAAGGTGACTACCTCAGTTTGACAGAGAGAACTGTGGACACCATTTTGACTGTACCTCCTTTGCCACCTCAATTTTGCAACCATTTTTCTTTAAAAGGAGTACTACAACACTGTAGTTGACTATTTCAGAATATTAAACTAAATTCCTGGGAGCAGAAAGAGAAATCGTCTATCAGTCTACAAATTGAACTTGAGAGACTGCGCAACTTCTAAGTGCCCTTACCTTAAAAACCAGTGCGGTATCCATTAAAACATCTGCTTTTCACGCTGGGGCTAAGAGGCTGCATGCAAAGGCTTGGACTGCATCGCTTTCCTGCATAAGATCATTCTCCATGTGTGCATTATGATGGCAGTGAGCTGTAATCTGCTTCACCACTCTAGCATCCTCTTCCAGAGCTCTCTGATGCTAGCAGGACCATAGTCTGATTTGAATCTAGGCCGCACTTCATACTTCATAGCTTTATGTTGAGCTTTGTAAGTGACGTCATCTATAAACCGCACAATCCTCTGATTTTCAACCTGCTAAGAACTGTAGAAAACTAAAATGGTCACCAGCAGTTAAATACCATCCCTGGAAATATGGAATTGAAAAGAGGGCTTTGCAACAGTGTTCTTATTTGAATTATTTGTATAATATCACCTGAACAATCAATCTAGTGCTTGTTACATGTGACATTAATGATGACACTTGTCAATGAACCTCTGGAGGTTGAACTTAACTCATCCAATTTTTGTGTATTTATGTAATTAACTATTATGAAACCTTAACTTGGGGCTGGGGAAAATAAAGTTTAAGGTTACAGTTTAAAGAAACAGCTGTACAACTATTTATGAAGACTTTTTGGTACAGTATTTTCTTAAGGTTCTGGTTTTAAGATCACTTTTAAAATTGGGCATAAATGTGCATCTTAGGCCCTGACTAGTTGCATTTTCAAATTTTCTTCTTTTTGGCTTGCAATAAACTTGATTCTCTGTTCAAGAACTAACAGCAACACTTTACTCAGAGTAGGCATCATTGGGTTGTTTTACAATGCACACTTGGAACCTATTTTGTGCTTTACAAATAGAACAGCAGCTATTGTCTGAACATGTTTGAATCCTGGGCATGTATTATGGCTGTACTGGAGAAAACAAAATTGAAATAAATCAATAAAGCTGCAACATTTGGCATTTTTTTTCTTAGTTGGTTTAGCTACTGCCTGTGGTCTGCTTGGGAGGTAATGATTGAGATTGCTGCAGGCCTTGTTTTGGACAAGAGGCGTTGAGATAACAGACATGTTGGTTCAAAATGCATTTTGTTACAGTGGGTACATGTTAGCTTGACTTGAAAAACACAACTGCAGCGTAAAATAGAAATTTTGCCATGAGCTGAACAAATGAACTCTACTGCATCGCTTTCTATTAAAACATCTAGTGGGAGAATTAGTGTTGCAACAAAGATCTCAATTTTGTCAATTCCTTTGTAAAGCAGAGGAAAGATTAATTTGTGGCTTTGTATCCAAAATAATCCTTTGGCACTTGTGAATCTCAGATGGGGAGAAAAAAGCCTCGGCATCCCAAAGTTTTAATGTTTTGTTGGAGAGGGTAGGCTCTGAAGCAAGTGCCTGCAGTTGTAGAAGCTTCATTATGGTCCCATAGATAGCCCTCTAACTTTAGCCTTTTTTGTCCCACCGAGTAGTGCATTCACAATATATTTATTCATTGATTCATATAGTCTCCACAGCACAGAGAGGCCATTCAGGAGAAACAGACTATTTTGCAAGCAGTTTCTAAAATGTTAAATGGATGGCAGTAGAAAGAGGGGTTGACCTAGTTTTAAGCCACAATGGGTTACAGCCAAGATACGGTGGATCTGAGGATGGCATGAGATGAGTATGGGAAACCATAACAGCTACTCCTACCAAGGTATCTACATGCAGCAGCCTTTGAACCGAGTCGAGTCATGGTTATGTCTAAGTACATTGTCCTAAAGCCACTATTCCCTGATGAACACTTGTGCCTAGGTGGAACAAAGAATATATTGACAACGAAGCCAAAATTACTGGTGATGTGGAAAAAAAACCAAAAAGAATGGAAATACAGTTACTCCATACCATAAAATCAAACAACAAAATGAAACCAAATAAATGCCCCAGTTATACCACCCTTGGCTGCTTTAATGTAAATTACTGCAGAGTGGTATTTTACTGCCTTATGGAGCTGTAAACTATTGGGGTGGGTAATGCTGTTCTCAGAATAGTCACCGTTCTGACCTTGGGTATTGTATGCAATATTGCTCACTAATTCAAAGATGACACTTACACAGTGAAGACGGTGCAGAAAAGAAAGTAGTGAAAAGAATGAGTTTAAAGAGAAGCTCTGAGGAAGAGATTTTAAAGCTTTTTACTGTTTTTAAAAACGATTGAAAAGAAGTGCTCAACAGATGTAGAAAGGATAAATGCAAAATATTGCAGATGCTGGAAACCTGAAACAACAATGTTGGAGAAATTTGGCAGGTCTGGCAGCATCTGTGGTGAGAGAAATAGTTAGTTTTGAGTCTGGCATGACTCTTGTTGATGTCTTGAATGTTAAAGTCAAACTAATAAGATTTTTAAAAAATTAGATTTTGAAATAGATGAAGACAGATATGTTTCCCACCACTACATTATCAAGCTGATTCGGAGAGGGTTTCAAAATGTTGAACGTTGTGCTGCAGTTAGAGTAAAGTTTAATGAATAGCTAACCCATTGACCTTGTTTTATATTCCTGGTGTGAAGCTGTTAACACGTGGAAATAATATACCATTCTAATTGAGAGATCGCTATCAAATTCCATTTTGGTGTTTAAATTCTGATGTATTGAATGACCACTTGTGAAATATTGAAGAAAATCTCAAGGTGCTTTTAAATTTCTGCTTGAAGTTGGCTAGTGAAACTCACTAAATCTTTTGTTAAAAGCAAAAGACATCAGCTTTTCTGGAGCAACCGGTGGAATAGTTTAGGCGAAGGTCATTTATGGCAGTCTGTTGTATAAGTTCATAATTTGAAAAGTAATTGAATACGTAGACTTTATAAACCAAGTGCTTGCAAGAAGCCTGCTCTCAAATTGATTCCTATGTATAACTACTTGAATTGTGTACTTCTCTGGTATATAACATTTCACTTTATGCAATTGTATGACATGTCTAAACTAACTGTGTAATTGCAGAAAGGATGCAGCTGTTGTAGGTGCTCTGATCTGGCAGTCACATGAACCAACTATTTCTCAAGTGCACTTCTATTAAAAACACGAGTTAGCTAGATAAAGTTAAGTATACTCCAAAAGAGCACAATTTTTTCATTGTGTATTACCTCCATTGTAGACTCAGGATTTATTGCCAGACACGAATTTACTGAGTTTAACCCCAAATACATACCAAGTTGGAACTCAAATAACACAGTTGACTAGTATTTGCAAACCCCAAATACAAATCCTACTGGTTTGATCAACATCCATACTGAAATATCGACATTCATCTACCAGGCCCCCACATGTATACTGTTTTGAGAATACGTATAGTTGCAGAATGCAAGAAGACCCCTCAGTCCACCATCCAGTGAGCAAAATGCAAGCAGGAGCCTTGTCCAACTCGACTTCACTGTTCAACTCTATGAATGTCAGGTCCAAGTGTGAAACTGAGGTGAGACTATTCTTTTTGTGCCATTGTTATGGATCAACAATGGAGAACCCAAAATGAAAATTGTCCAATTGAGTGCATCCATTTTGTGGGTTTGGGACGATGACTATTTTATCTTTAAAGCTTTTATTCTGTTTTATGGTTTGTACAGGAGTCTTTTCCTAACTCAGGCTCTATTTGATCAAATGTTGTACTTTGATTTTGTTGGACTGTAAAGAGTTAAATTTTAAAAACTTGTAGGTGTTAACATTTTATATAGTAAATGAACATGGTAGATTTCATAGATGATTGTGTGTACGGTTTCTTGTAGGAAATCTGTTCGCAAGTTGATTCCTTTGCACAACAATGTAAATGAATAATGATGGTAGTTAGTTTGAGATTGTTTGGTCTCTGATTTCTGAGGCATATCAGGAATTCAGTCAGTTGGTGTCCTTGCCCTTCTGGACCAGTGAGTGGGTGATTGTGGTCAAGGCTGTTGTGTGCTCTAAATATTAAAAATAGAGCTTAACATGTCCCAACTTCCAGGCAACATCTATTTATCACTTGTAATTCAGATGTCCCTTAGAGCAGGATTCCAGTTCCAGAGCTGGAAATTAAATTGGGTCTCATGATGCATGTTTGACCTCTGAATATACAAATTGTATTCATGATATTAATGGTAACCAGTGCAGTGCAGGAGTTGTTTCAATCAGCAAGCCCAATAAGAAAAGTTGAAATTGAGACAACCTGTCTGCCGAAGGATCTCCAAATGGCCATGCAGACAGTAGGGATTCACTGGACTGATCTGATCCCCATCTAATCCAAGACTCTGGATCTGCCTGAGTTGTGTTCCCTTGGGAGCTCCCACTGTGCCAGAGTGCCACATCACTTGATCTCAGCTGTTCGTTAAGTCCATACTCATCTTGTTTTGGGACCTCAATCTGCTTGAGATGTATTCTCTCTCACTTGCAGATACTTGCCAGAATACTTACTAGATTTAACTCCAAACATGTAGCAAATTGGAGCTCCACACAGTTGACATTAGTATTTGCAAAACCCAAATGCAAAACTTACTGGTTTGATCAATATACGTACTGAAATATAGAAATTCACCATCCAGGCTCTCATACCCATACTGTTTTCTGAGAATATGTATAGTTGCAGAATGCAAGGAGACATCTGTCTAGCATCCAGTGAGCAAAACACAAGCAGGAGCCTTGTCCGACTCGTGACTTCACTGTTGAACTAATTGATCATTTAGAGATGTTAGTAGACACGTCTGGAGCAGTGCAACTTGAATCTGAGCCTCCTTGCTCAGAGGCAGCGACAATGCTGCTGTAGTCCAAAAGCCCCCTCACGCTCTTGCATATTATTAAGAACGTGGAGCTGCAGCTATCCAGATCCTTAAATTTGAGTGACATTTCCACTCTACAGCTGTCAGCAGTCCTTCAACCTGGCCTGTTTGTCATGATTAAATCTTCTGATTTGTCCATTTTCCAAAGGTTGGAGGGACTGAACATGGCCTATGTTGTATACTGACAACATCAATAACATAATCTATCTCAATTCTACTTCCCAAAATCTGGAACGCATCAGATAATTTGGTCCCTCAGATGTAACACATTCAACTGCACTAAAACAGAAGGCAGAAATGTGAGCATTCTTACTGTTTGTCTAGTCAGGCCAGGTTTTAAATCCCTTCATACCTTTTTGGAAATTGCACGTCACCTTGTAGGAAAGAAATTACTTCTGGTTATCTGTTAAGATTAGAATAATCCATTGCCCAGAATTGGCTGTAATTTTTGACAATGACAACTTGATTCTCTTTTTAAGAGCAAAAAGCTTTTGTATTTACTGTATCAAATCCTTTTTATATTTCAAACGCATAAAGTGAAAGAACTGCAACTTCACCATGCAGGTGTTTAACAAGAAAGTTGGCTGCCAGTGAATTTGCTGATGGACATCTTTCCGGCACACGTAGATTACATTTGGTGGCACCTCCAAGTTAATGTTTTGTTGCTGTTGTATTCTATACAATTGAGAAAATGCTTTGTGCATTCCAACATGAAAATGGACGAAAGTTGAAATAAGTGTTGCTAACATTTATATTTACAAAACTGAGAGAATCAAATTAATTGAGATTCTAATTTTATGCAAGCACAACTTAACTAAGACTATCTACCGAACAGAAAGTGTATATCTTTGGCAGGTGAAAGGTTCTGTTTTTCACATCCTTGGCACTTCCCAAACAACTTGATAACTGAAAGATGAGGTTTTGAAGCAGAACAACTTACATATGAAAATGTGGCACTCAGTCTGCTCAGCAAAATTTGCTAATTTGTCAAGGTGAATTAACATACTGTGGTGTTGGGAGGAGGGAATAAATGTTGGCCAGGGAGTGAAATCTGTTTTTTTTCCTTTGAAATGCTGCCTTTGAGATCTTTGTCACCTACCTCAGCAGGCAGCAGCCTCAACTTAAAAATCTCATCCAGATAGGTGGCATCTCCTATTGCTGGAATACTCCTTC